GGGTGTATATAAACCAAGAGCTAATGAAACCAGCAGAATTGCGTCTACCTCATCATGTTGATGCTACTAATCCACTTACAAAAAGCAAAGTAGCACTTTTGACAGCTAAAGATGAATTTTTTAATGAAAATGAATTACATTTCACTAAGAATGATGATTCTGTTTTGGAAGTAGATTCTGCTCTTTGCAAGACATCTTGTAACCATTTTTGCTCTACATGTGCTGCCATTGAGAAATCCTCATTTAGAGACATTCGAAAACGTTGCAGGGTAGCAGTGGCAGAAAAACAAGAAAGTGATGGGACATATTTATTTCATTGTATCATATTCCCTTCACAGCTTGCATGCAAAAAAGTATGTGTTTTTGTTATGTTTAGTAAACTTTTGGTATGTTCATTTTCTGCTAGACCATTGAAGAACAATATTCTCAAAAAAATTTTGTCCTTGAATTCTCTTTTAAAGACATGACTTTTGGGGATGGTGGCATATCACTTATTTTTGACCCTGATAACCTCGAAGGTTGGTCAAGAAGCCATTGTGGAATTTATGTTGATGAGGTAATCTACTAATAATAGAACAGTGATTTAATTTAATATTTTATTATTAGATTTTAGAAGATGATGTGGACTATCATAAAGTTATGTGTAATTGCAAAGATGGAGGAGATATGTCTAGCAAGAATGTTGCTGAGCTAAAAGACTTAGAAAAAAATTGTCTTTATCCACCTCGATTTCGTTATAAGTTTACATGCATGGACAAAAAAGCAGCAAATGTGATAGTTGCACTGCAAGGTAATTAATGGAAATATTCTTTTTAGACAACTTCTGAGGCTTTATTATAGGGTCTGGTGTAAACTTTAAATATAATATTAATTTGAAACAGCCTGGTTATGTTCCCTCTAAGGATATTTCCAATTTACTGACACACAAAGAAGAAGATGACACATCTTCTCAAAGTCAGCTGCATAATTCAGATGTGTTATTTTTACACTCGCATATTATACATTGTATATACATGCTTGTAATAAAACAGAACTTAAGTCAGTATATATGATGCTACATGTGCATGTACATGCATTACTGTATGATTATTGAATAGGTGCAACTAAGGAAAGAATAGAGTCACAAAAAATAATTGATAAAAGAAATAAGTACATGAAATCATTTAATTTGGACCCATACTTTATGCATGCATGCATGCACATGTACAGTACTAGTCAGGCTCTACCCACTAGTACTGTACTTGTACTAACAGAAAGATACTCATCCTGCTGAATTGTGGAGTATATTATGACTGTTTTCATGTTTATACTTATACAGAGCCAACAACTCAAAAAGACAAAAATCACTCAGGCACAGAGATCATTGAGTCTAATGATGATCAACAAAAAGGTACAAGTAGTCACTGTCACTAGTTTCATATATTTACATGTACATGACTATATCAGCAATTAATCTTATAAAAATAGTTAGAATACATGTACTGTACATGTACTCACAGAAAGACCACATCCTGCTTAGTAGGCTCACCCCAATAATTGTAGAGTATGAATGATAATAGGTGACTGTTTTTATGTCTATACTTATACAGAGCCAACAACTCCAGAGGACAAAAATTACCCACCAACTCAGGCCACGAGTGAGTCCAATGATGATCAACATAAAGGTATAAGTACTCACTGTCACTAGTTTCATATTACATGTATGTGTATGTGTATGTGATAGTGTGTGCATGTACACTCACTTCACCTAGTAAAATTACAATTCTCTAGCTCGTTGTAATGTACGTATTCTTATTCAAATGAGCTGGTTTTTGCAGTTAGTGATAGTAAAAAATGCCAATATAATATACATGTATTATACATGCAAGTGGATGTTTTTTCATATTAATATATATTTAATATAGAGTCAGGAATTCAAGAGGTGAAACTAGCTACAAATGATTCCCCCACACAGATCAGTAAGTCCAATGATGATCAACAGAAAGGTTCATTGTATAAGCAGTCACTGTCAGTATAATACATGTAGTTTCACATTATTTACATGTATGTACTTATAACTAAATGTATCAGCGATTATAGCCTTAAAGTATTATGTTGAAATTATCATTCTTTTTTATTCAGCCTCAGGTGCTGCTGGTATTAAGACCAATAGTCAGTTCCCTATAGTGTCTGATCATTCTGATGATAAAACCACCAATGAGAGTGGGAACAACACTGATATGAATTATCCTGAATCAGAGAGGCCACAGAAAATTGAAGGTAAAATGTGTGTTTGTGATTATTTATATGACCTACATGCATGGGGATGATTCAGCCCACCCATGTGTTCAGCCATATGTGCATATATGATGTATCCATACTTAGCTTTATACATGTATACATTAATTAAAACATTACATAAAGTAAGTGTGATCATATCAAATAATACAGCAATGAGCAAGTTTTGAGCTTTTTATATAGCAGGCAAAAGATGTCTAAATGTCTATAGAGAATTCTCCTGAAGCACTGGAAGATTGAGATAACCTATGAAGTTGTATGTGACACAATGGGTGGCGATAATATACATGTACGTACCTTGACGCATGTGTCAGTTCCAGAGAACACAACATAAGCCTTACTTTTGGATTCTGTGCAAATGGCACAATAGGTCAAGTTATATTATTGTAAAGTTAATTTTGATCGAATTTGGATTTTCTATGAATTTTTGAAGCTGCTCAAAAATTCAACCAGTGTGTCTGAAGAGCCAATGACCAAAATTCAGCCTTTGGTCTTTAGCCAAATTTTGTCAAAGTAGCTAGGAGAGAATACTCCATTTTTATAATTTTTACTGATATATATACATGTACTTACATCTACATGTATGTTGGGTATTAACTTTAAGCTGATTTTAATCAAATTTGAATTTTTTATGAATTTTTAAGTTGCTCCAAATGCCATGCAGCTCATGAAGCATGCTAGCTGTTTAGCTCACTTAGTATGCTTCCTGCTTTCAAGGAAAAAAAAATTGCCTCAATTATACTTATGCAGCAATTATTTTTAAGGCACATGCAGAGCTATGCATGTACAAAGAATTGTATGCATGCTTTGTATACTATAATTTTTTGTTACATGTACATGTTAGCTACCAGTATGATATGATTTGTTAATAGGTGCAACCAAAAGTACAACTGTGGAACTAACATCACAAAAAATAGATTAAAAAAGTAAAAAAAATGTTGCATTTTGAAATAATTATATTTTGTAATAGTTGCATCTCATGTTTTAGCTGAGAACATTTCATCGATAATAAAATGTTGTAAGGAATTTGAGTTGACTGAATTAGCAGAGAAGTTTATGGAAATGCATATTATCACAAGAGAGGAAATGGAAGATTTAGTAAAAAATATTAAGAAGAATAGCCGCCGAATGAACATTTATCAAATGAAACAGCTGCTCAAACAATTAGAAAGAGCTGTTTCTTTTAGGGGAGAAATATTTTCATGGTTCTTAAAAATTCTGGAAGACTATGATACTGAGGCTTCACAAGAAGTGGCTAGGAAATTAGAAGCAGATTACGAAAAAGTGAATATAATGATTTTTGTTTTAAGATTATTTTCTCCCACAGATGTGCCCCTCAAAACCATAAAATCTTTCTTTGAGCAATATCTTCACACTTCGTAATGCCCAAGTACAATTTCACACCTCCATTTTTTCTACTTTGTCTCCTGGCACCAAACTCTCTCTCCTCTGTACTTCGTAACTTAACATGCATGCACGATTTTGACCTTTTTAAACAAATTTTGTTCTTTTATGTATGCTTTGATTGTTTTCCTTAATCGTGCACATACTGTATCTCGAAATGACTTGAGGGCAGACACTAATGAGTAAAGCTAGGTCTTACATTAGATCTACTTGCCCCAACCCATACAAGCTTCTTTTGTCACATAAACCCTAAAATATTTGTCCTGGCTTCTAATTTTAATTTGCCTAATAGACTACTTCACTTTTAAAAATTTTAATCTAAAGTCAAGTCTAAAGTTTTATTGTGCCATATCATTGTACTTTGATACCATTGTGGATATTCTACTGCCACTTACTCTTATCGACAATTTTAATTTCATTATCTCTGACCCAACCTCTTGTCAGTCTTGTGTCATATCTACATTCTACACTTTTTTGAAGTCAGTTGGCTCCATGTAATGCACATGCATGGACTGTGGCTGTTGTCCATTGACTCCTTTCATTCATAACTCAGAATTTAAAGGGAACGACAGGATCACATGTAGATCGTGTGGGATAGTTGTGTAGAAAATTTGAGCAGATTTCAACTGAAATTGGATTTTAATAAATTTTGAAAGTTGCATATTAAGTGCTTCTTTAGCTCACTTAGCAGTTAGCATGCTTTGTGGGAAACCATAACCTGCCATAGCTAGTATTTATACCCATTTTATACATTAAACATACATAAATAAAATTAATACAGAATAGCTTTTATAATAACAATTACGAATATAAACATTTGCACACGTTGTACAAATACATGAACACGGAAACACGTAATTACAACAATGCACTTGTGCATGACTGGTACTTGATATTTGATAGAGGAGAAAGAGCAGAACCAGTCAACATAGACATTTCACTTCTGCTTTGTATAACTTAGCTATTAATATTAAGTTCACACACAGCCTGTAATAAACAGTCCATAAATGCATTTATTCATAACTTGACAAAACAAAATTATTATGTACCTGAAACTACAATAAATGATACTGATCACACAAATCAAAATGAATAAGTCACAAAATTATTTCATCATATATAACATTTTGTCTTGTATCTGTTTTTACTTCACCGTATGCTGGATTGATGCTAATATTTGTATTAAACTTAGCAATATCATCATATGCTGGATTAGGGACCGAAACTATGCTCGCAGTTTCTATTGTATATTAGCAATGGTAATTGTTATTTAGGAAATAATAGCTTACTGCTTCTCCTTTTCATATGTATAATGATGATCACTAGTACACTAAAACATACTATTAGCAGTATAATAACTGTACACACTGATACCGTTACTGCTGTAATAACTATAAACAAGACAGTTGCTATATTATCAAATTTATCTATACCACTAACCAATACTTGTAGTAGAATTTGTAGAGGTTAATAGTATAGTAGGCAATTGTATAAAATTAGTTGTAGGAGGAAAGGTTGTATCTATAATGACATGTAGAAATTAACAATTTATAAATTATGTGTACCTAATGGTATAATCAATGGATTACTACGACCAACATCATTACTCAACACAATACTGAGATTACACTCTGCTTGGTACTGGGGTACTGAAAATACAAATTCAGTGGCATTATATTCTGCTGGATATATTCTACTAAATACGATACCAATTTCTTTACATGATACACGGATAATAATATAATCAGGAGCTTCAAGTATGCAATCCATTGTATCCTGAAAAAATTAGACTGTAAACCCAGGCAAGATAATAATGAGAGGTAACTTACTAAAATGTCAACCAGAAAATGAACATAATCATTTGTATGGTTTAGTATAGTACAAACTGCTTCAGGTGATCTAGGAACTAAAGACAAACATACAGACTATACATTATAATCAAAAATAGTTAATGAATACTTTTTTGAAAGGAAATAACCGAACTTTTTGACATTCCTTTTCCAATTTCATTCACTCCAGTTATAATAACTTTATAAATCAAATGCTCAACTTTAAATTGATAAGTTGTGCCATACACCATAGCACTGTTCACTAACTGGTCGTTGCTATTATCATATATTTCCAGTCTGTAATAATTTATATAACTTGCATCATTAAGACTATCCCAAGATATTGTGATGTTAGTGCAGTTATATACTACTGCTCTAATATTAGAAACTGGTACTACATGCATATTTAAAAAATTAATAATAAAAAGCAAAAAGAATAATGTGTTACCACTAGCAAATCCAAAAGATGATACGTCATTAAATTCACCTCCTTCATTACTCAATGATACATTAATAATAAAAACAGTAGAAATATCAGGTAATATTAGTGGACTATGTCCTGTCATAACCATTGTTAGTTCATTAATTTCTGGTGATATACTGTTGCTATACACTACTGTACCATCGGTTTCTAATACATAAAATGTTATGATATTAGGATACTCTCCAATACATAACTTGTTGATCTAAAATTTGAAATTATTGGAAAAAGAAATTATTACTATAGACAAGGAAATGATGGACCCACATCTCTCTGTCTACAAGATAATACTGCTCATTTCCCTTACCTTCATGCTAACATTTATTATTGCTTCATAAAGTAATAGCATAACCGACATTATAGGAGTTACAACAGGAACTATAGGAGATTGAACATATACATGAAGCCATATAACACTATGATAATGTAATAACCTCTTTCATAATAGAAACTGGTATAAGCTGGTTCACCTCTTCCAACTCCATTAATAGGAGACACTGATACATTAGTTAAGATACAAGGATCAGGATCAGTACTTGATATTACAAAAGAAGTATCACTAGTGGTATAGTTGCTAGAACCATCGTCAATGTAGTATCCAGTGATAGGTACATTGTCCAGTGTATAAGGTGCTGTCCATGACAATAGTACACTAGATTCATTGATAAAGGTAGTTGTTAAATCACCAACACTAGCTAATAGACCTATAAGAATGTTTTAATTTTTAATTATTTACAATATTATTTTTTACAATATTATACCTTGTATTTTTAGTATAGCAATGGTACTTCTAATATTTCCAGGAACAGTACTACATGATATGTTAGTATTGTTATTAGTTTCTTGGGCCCAAACAGATAATGATCTTTGCAAAGTTTCGTTAAGGGTATACTGACTTTCTTGTATAAATCCTCTTTCAACAATGCTATCTTCATTTGCAGAAATAACACCAACGTAAAAGTATATTAGGAACACAGTAGATTTGGTTGCTTCACATGTGAAGGACACTGTTGAATTTAAAGTTGCATTCAACGATGCAGGTTGAACTGTATAAATAGACAAACAGAATTTCGTTAGCATCAGCAGCACTATGATTCGAGAGAGATTTCGAGACATCTTTCGAGCCCTTCGTTCAGACATAAATATTGTAGACTAGAGCGCTCACTTATTATAAAACTTTGGGTGTGGTCAATGACAATGCTTGACCACACCCAATTATATTATAACGTACGTACGTACCGTCGTAACGCAGACGTCGATATGAAGAGAGCATCCGTCGATATGAAGAGAGCATCCGTTTTCTTCCTTCTTACATCTTTATTTGGCTCTTTCAATGCCCGTAAGTTAAAAGTCTTTACTGCCGTTCGCGTTGCTGCTGCTATATTTCTGTAGTTTTGCCACGCTCCTCTATTATGTAATCTATGAACAAACTATTCCCCAGCCTACAGTCATGCCAAAGATCATCTGGGTGGCCTTGGACCATAGATACTTTGGGCAGACTAGCAGTAGCCAGTACAGGGCCCTGGAGGCGTATTTAAGCCTTTGAAAATGGAAACGGGCAAATGGAAGCATGGTGAAAGCATGTATGGCTAATAGTACACAATATGAACTATTATGAAGTGTTGCGACAGGAAGTGCACCAGAAGTGCTGGACAAACACTGCCAGTTAATGCATGAGTTGACCAAGGTTTGTACAGCACTTCCAGTTGCAAGGCTTATATTGTGTACTACAGGCTTTAGAGTACTAACATCTTATCTATTTATTATCTCTTATCTCTATGTGAAAGTATGATAATGGGGCAAAGTGCACCACCCAATTTGCATAGCAGTTATGCACTGACTGAGCTATAACATTGTTTATGTAACCCTCAAGGCCTCAACCTGATTGTTATTTTTAGCAACAATGAATATAATGTTGGGGAAATTTGTAATGAAAAATTATAAGTATAGGTTATACACCGAGGTAGAGGTTTCTATGGTATTTATTAACTGAGCGACGCAGTCGCGAGGTTAATAAATGCATAGATATTATAGACTACGTAACCGGGATTGGAAACAGATCACGTGATCCCATTCAAATCAATGTAACTATTCAGATACAGTCTCTGTGACAGTGAGAGGCGGACGAAAATGCCTGACATGGCTGGAAAGAATGGTCTCTAGTGAAGTCCCGCAAGCTATTTCACCTGTACTTGGGCTCTTATAATATACGCACATGTTTATATTTTTCTTTGATACAAAAATAAGATGTGTTAGCTGTGTAAAAACAGGTGTTTAAAGCAAGTGCGCTCCCCGTGACAAGAGATAATGTCTTATTCTCCCTCCTGCAAACAAGCTTTAGCTACCCCAGTTTCATTTTATGATTAAAACTATGCACAAGGCCATGCTACATGAGAATAGACTGGTTAGTTCTGCCTGCCATATTACTGAGAGCAGAAATCCACCAAAATAACGCCAAAAAGCGGCCGATCTGTTGTACCTCTCCCGAGCGAACTAAGCATAGAGACACGAAGAGAAAGGTACCATCGTGATCTCTGGTATTTTCTTTATGCGATTAAGCTACTTAGAACCAGCTACATCACAGTATATTATTAATACGGCTCATCAAACATAACAATTCTTCATGATTTTCACCATTTTGATGTAAATTCATGCAATTTCATGCATTAATAATCACACAGTCTGTACACGTGACGTCATCAGTTTCCAATCCCAGTTACGTAGTCTATAATATCTATGATAAATGCCATAGAAACCGATACCGAGGTGTATAACCAACTTCTACCATGACACTTGAAAAACAACTACCAGCTGCTGATAATAAGACCACAGTTGACATACATACAACATATCTAACAGGCTAGGCCAGTAAAGAATCAACCAAACTTGACAAATAGACTAATAAGAGCATAAGCGTAGAGTATGTACCAATCTTCCAATCAATTAATTATTTAACGAGATAGGTTTATATTTTTACGAGCTAGGTTAATATGAAAAATAATTGACCTCCAATACTACAATCTGATTGGTCAATCGCAAGGTGGCATGGTAGAATTAGATTTTAAAGCAATATTGGCCCATGCCTGAATTCACTTCTAAGCCAATGACATTTTAAAGTTTCAATCATGTGTTTGAAATAAATGGCCCGATTTACAGAAATTTATAGTCACGTCCCCCAATCCCTTCACTTTAGGAGAAAGGGTTTGGAGACACTCAATGCTTTTTTGTTGCCTGCTGGAATGTAATTAGTGCAGCTGATTTTATGACCAGATGCATCTACATTTTAATTTCACGTGATAGATATGTCCCCAGAACATGGCTACCAGAAGTATTAAGAAGGAGTCATAGCCAAAACTCATTTCAAATCAGTTTTTATCATTAATTTGTTTTGTTTTTCTTCATTCTTAAAATATTTACGGACTTTTTTCACCTAATTTGGGTGGGATAAAATGATCAGTGTATATGTTAAATGCAAATATCTAGAAATTAAGAATGGGGTGCTGAGGGTATGCAAAGCAAAGTCCCCTGTGATTTTGGCCACACCGATTTTAACGACAATAAAATTTCCTCCATTTTCATGAATTACGTAGGTGGTTTAAGATTTAGCACATAATATGAGTGTTAATGCTTCTTATTGCTCCTTAAAGCACTGGAAATTGTGGTCATTTGGGCTGAATAACTTTCCTAGGACACTTTGTAATGATGTAAGATACCAGGACTTGATTAATTAATTCTGAGCCCAGCCATATGAGGGGGTATGTATGTGCTCAACCCTCAGCTTCCCTGGATACACCACTGCAGTGTGCTAAAACCTAGGCATAGAGGGAGGGCTATGCTACTTAAACTAAACCAGTAGGAGTGGGTGATACAGGTCAAAATAGATTGATCTCATACTGATCAACATCAGGCCATATTGAAAATTTAGGATTGTCAGATATTTCATTGATGTTTCCAAGTGACAAATTTTTAGAGTGGTGGGGGGCTCCTATTGAACTATTATTAATACAGGCTATTTAAAATAGTATTGGTATCAAATGAAGCCTGGAAATTTGCTTGATTATACTTCCCATTTAAAAAATTTTGATCCATTTTATTTACATGAAATATGCAGTAAAATTATAGAAACAACTCTCTTTTGAAAAATTGATGCCAATCACACAAAGCTATAGCTATTATCACCTATATAATATTCAATGTAAATAAAACACAGAAAGTGTCAAAGTTGATTTTTCATTTTAGGCTATGTACAACAACCTAGTTCAATAAATGCAACTGTGGGTTTGACAGTTAACTTTACATGTGAAGCAACTGGTGTAAATTCACTACACTTTTTGGCCAATGCCACACCAGTAGTTGGAAATGCCCTTTCAATAAGAGGTTTCCGACAAAGTCAAAATACTATTAATGGAACTACAAAAAGTTCTTTACGTGTGGAGGCTCAAAAAATTAACAATAATACAAATATATCTTGTACTGATTCTGACAATATTAGAAGTACTACTGCTGTATTAATGATACAAGGTATTGGTAAAATATAATATTGTAATTCATACAGTATTTTATAGGTTTGTTAGCTAGTGTTCGTGATTTAACAACTACCTTTATCAATGGATCTAATGTACTATTATCATGGACAGCACCTTATACACTGGACAATGTACCTATCACTGGATACTACATTGACAATGGTTCTAGGAACTATACCACTAGTGATACTTCTTTTGTATTATCAAGTACTGATCCTGATCCTTGTATCTTAACTAATGTATCAGTGTCTGCTATTAATGGAGTTGGAAGAGGTGAACCAGCTTATACCAGTTTCTATTATAAAAGAGGTTATTATTATCACAGTGTTATATGGCTTCATGTATTTGTTTCAATATCTTATTTTTAGTTCCTCCTAAAACTCCTACAGTATCAGTAATTCCCGGGGCACTAGTTAACAAAATGAACCGATCATTGTCACTAAATATTATTATTAATGTAAGTGTCATCTTTCAGTGCAGGACATTGTGATCTCATGTTTTTATTTCAGGCTAGTAAATTATGTATTGGAGAGTATCCTAATAATATAACATTTTATGTATTAAGAACTGATGGTACAGTAGTGTATAGCAACAGTATATCACCAGATTTTAATGAACAAACGATGGTTATGACAGGACACAGTTCACTAATATTACCTGATCTTCCTACTGTTATTATTAATGTATCATTGAGTAACAAAGGGGGTGAATTTAACAATGTATCATCTTTTGTTCTAGGTAAGTCATATGTCAGTATATACTATTTACTCTTCTGTTTGTACATTACAGGCACTCCTGGGCCAGTTACTGACATTACATTAATTAATATTACCTGTAATACTGTTACTGTCACTTGGAATAGTCCTAAGTGTACATATATCCTCTGTGATATTATGTTGTATTACAACTTGAATATTAATGATGTTCTATTGATTGCCAGCAATACTCATTATAAATTTAAAGACAAGAATGTGGACCATCTTAGTTGGAACATCAGTGTCACTCCAGTTAATATATTTGGAAATGGAACATCTACCAATGCTACTTTTTTTAATTATACAGGTATAGAATAATTATTAAAATTCTAAAGATGACCAAATGTTTATTATCAGTTCCTAGGCCTGCACTAGGGCCTGCAGTAAAAAATACTACTACTATATTTAATGTATCTCATATTAGTGTTCAGTACAACATACCAGTAAGAACTGTATTAATTGTCATACCATCTCTTTGCAAAATTTGATAAATTCATTATGGTAATATAATTTACTATACAGTAGGTTTTTTGTTTATCATTGGTAAACAAAGAAATTTTGCCCATAAAATTATGGAAATACATGGAGTAGAAGGGCAAAGTCCTTCCACAGAACAAAATAAAACCATAAAGTTAAATTTCCCTTCCCAAAATGAATTAAAGTTTGACCCATTAACAAAAGAAAACTCACTATACTGTACAAAATTATTGGATGCATATTGGCATTAAAGGACTCTTCAATGTAATTGTTGAAATATTTTATTTTTGAGAAAATTTCTTCAATTCCATATGGTACATGTTTCATTGGTTACTAACAGCAATACAGCATCATGAAGCATTCTGTTTAACATTACTCCATTTCAATTTACATGTAGTTGTCTTTATAGCAACTTTGACTAACATAATAGCATGAAAATTTCGCTAAAAATTTTGTGGAATGATTTGTGAATGAAATTTATGAATATCCCATTACAATAGCTGTCAAAACCACAAAAATTTGTCAAAACCAAAAACATATTTATCTTAATTTTTATGCTATACAGTATTCATGTAGCTCCTAGACCAAATTTTTGTTGATCAAAAGTTTCATTTTTGAATATTTGTGCATGCTATAGTTGAATGTAGAACCAAGATTTTATTTAAATAAGTTAAAACAACAAAATTAACTTGCTTAATGAAGGATTTTTTGACTATGTATTAGTTGCTGATTGTTTTCAAATTACATGAGTGACAATCAGGGCTGGGGTAAAGTACATTAAGCAGTACTTAAATACTTTACAACTACTCTAAAGCTGTCATAAGTACAAGTACAAGTATCTGCTTCAATTATAAAGTGGTGCTTAAGACCAAGTACAACTATTATCATGTACTTAAGTACAGTTCTAAATACACCATTTAGATCACAATTACTTATGTCTTACTACACAAATTGACTAAAATTAATTTTATTCTTTAAATAAATTACTGTTGTGTTATACTGAAAGTGCACAGACTATCCACAGAATGATGTGCATGTGATACAGCTGCTTTTTGTGAAACATGGTTTTTTATTAACACAATCTTTTGTAAATGCATGCACTGTACTTTAAAGTGCTTAAAGTACTTCTAAGACATTAAGTTCATGAAGTACAGTACATGTAAGAAGTACAAGTACAAGTTAGAATTAATTGCTAGTACTCATGAGGCTGTACTTATTAAGTACAAGTACCCAGGTACTTGGCCCCTGCCCTGGTGACAATTAATTTTTATTATCCAAGATACATACCGTAATTTAAAAGTTAATAAATTTCGATAGCAAGGTATAAATCTAAGCTAAGCTATTTGTATTAACCTCCCGGCTACATCACTCAGTCAGTAAATCTCATAATAATTTAGTTCTGCTGATCATTTCCTCTCTTTTTATGTCTTAGGTTTCAGTAATATGTAATACTGAAACTCCAGAGATTGCTAATATTACTCTACTGTGTAATGAAACTGGTTCTGTTGACACTCATATTGTTTCTGCATCAGCTGGAAACATAACTGTGTCATTTTTAGTTCTCAAAAATCAGACATGTAATTTAACCATTGTTTTTAGCAATCATGCTGGGAGCAGTGAGCCATTGATACTGATCATAGGTGAGTAGAAAATTTACAACAAGAGTATCATTTTCTTTTTGATTATCATAAAGCCATACTGTCCATCACAATATATTTAACTTTGTAACCATTTAAAGGGTAAGTCCGGTGTATTTTTGATGAATTTTTTTATTGGGTTAATATGATTGCCTGACCATAATAATGATGTATTCCAACTCCCATTGTCTAAAAAAATTTTTCACTGAGATATGAGCCTTCAAAGATGCTCATCAAGTTTTTATTACTTCCTGTCGGTGGGTATGGCTAAACGTGACGTCACTAGAGGCATAGATGCAGATAACTCCATTC